CAGAGACGTGAGGGTCCCCGCTGTGTGGTGGTCGGCCCACTGCTCATCACGGGCCCTCCTCTGAGGGGGCTGCGGTGCGTCCGAGGCAAAGCAGGTTCGTCGGTTCAGTTCTCCGGGGTGGCCTGCACCGCCTGCACAGGCCGGCCGGCGAATCGATCTCCCTCCTTTTTCACTGGAGTCCCTGTTGTTTTTTTTTTTTTTTTCACTGGTTTGTTCCTATAACGCCGTAAGGTATGGATTTAAGGAAGCAGTAAAATTCAGCATGTGGGAAGTAAATGGCATGAGAACGTCCGTGGGAAGTAAATGACTGGGTAATCCAGGCCAATTTCATGATGAATAAAGTGTATTTGTTTACGTATTGGATCCGTTTCCGTTAATGGCTAAAGGTGCCATTTATGTGGGTATTTTTTTCAGATTTTATGAAGTGTATCTTTAACATGCCTCACTTGCATAGAAAACAAGTGTTTTTATTTGCATGGCCTGTTACGTTTTGCTAGGGAAATGCAGAAGGAGAATAAATAACCTAACTCAGGCCATTACTCACCGTTAGAGTAATTTTTTAAGAATCCAAAAACTTGAAAGATGAAGTTGTGACCAATGTAAACTATTAAAGCGACTCTCTGTTACAAAATCATTGGTTGCAAATAAAAATCTACTGGAGAGCTTGTTTCCTGACAGCAAAAACTTTACAAATAGCATTTGCATGATGGTTTTGTTAAAGAAGCTTACAACACAGTACAGTTGAGTTCAGCACCCAAAGTTAGTTTTGAGATTCTAGACTCGATGACTGTCTGATGTCTGGTGTCTGTCCTACCGCACCAGAACTTCAGGAGATCCCCTGAGTGTTACTACAATCCAAACACTAAGCTTTGTGTTTTTTCCTTTTGTCTTTCTACTGCGTTTGGAGCTTCCAGAACGATGCACTCTACAATAGCAAAGACACCTCATATGAGGAAAGGGTGATGTGCCACTAGTGAATTATGGTGAACAAAGAGCCGACAAGACAAATCATTATAAAAGCGTGGAAGGGGGGAAAGATCTTATTCTTGTGCAGAATCCTCTTTTACCTTGGCTAGGTGGAGAGGATGATGTCTCTAGTTTTTCTTTCGGACATTCAATAAATATGTACTTCTTCATCTTTGTACACATTAATTCCAGAAAGCTGTGACACAGTGCTTGGGTTCTTTTGTCAGTGATGTGAGCAACTGCAATTTTTGCCATCTGTTTTTAGTGTCATGCTGCCAGTGGTCTGCCATCACACAGTAGTTAACAGCAGTAATTCATAAATGCAAAGTTCAGTAGTATCAAAATAGATAGTTTGACATAAAACTCAACCTTCCTCTTTTTTCCTTACAATAGGGAAGCGGTATCTACTAACAGAAGATCATATGAAGTTACAAGAATTTCAGCAGATGAAAGCGGCAATTAGAAATGAAGTTCATGGCAATAAAGGTATTGGTAGTTTTTTAATAATCACCATTGTCAACTTTGGCCTGAGTCCTGGGAAACAAGACAGTCAAAGACATTATGACACCAATTGACCACATTTAAAGCAACAACTTAAGTCTTACTCCTGCAAATTTTTTATAGCTAAAATTATTGGAAGATCTAAGCTTTCTAGAATGAAACAATATTCGTTATGCTGTGTTGGAAAACAGGGAGAAGCTTTCAAGTATGCAAGGTGTTTACATAAGACCTAAAACGTTTGTGTCCTTGCTTTTCCGCCTGCATCAGAAAATACTATTTCAGTCTACAAATCTTGCTTTAAATATATCATCATCAAAGACAGTTAATACAAAGCCTAATAGCTACTTAACTATCCAGAGAAGGCCTATCCCAGTAATTCTCTTTTAATCTGCTCTGTAAATTTAGTTAGCTTATTCTTTTAGATATTTTTTCCTTTTACCTTCTTTAAATTCTCAGTTCTACACCCAATTCCAGATGACGTACGTGTACTCGGAATAAGAAAAACAAGTTCAGGTTTTCCAGACTAACTAAGGAGCAAGATCGGTGGACTTTTTCCGATGGTCATTTTGTCATGATGTTTAAAGTGTATACAAATTCCTTTCTTTAAGGAACTTGATTATAAACATAAATCTGCCCTTAGTGTTTTGGAAAGGTTAGGTAAAACTCAGTTTCCTCTACCTGTTTAATCATGTGCAGGTGTTGTAGTGATACAAATTCACAATTATTCCAAAGGATGTAGTTATTTTTTCGTGTGTGGCAAGGAAGAAACAAATAATCAAACTTATTTCTATATAAACCAGTCTTCTGGGCCAGAGAGGGAAGTGAAGTCAACATGACAGTTTTTCTATATTAAGTAAAAGTAGAATTTAAATCAGGCAGTGGCAAGTCATAACTTTATTAAATTTTGCTGTGATGATGATGTACTCATATTGGGAATTATTCATCCTGTACATGAGATAGATTGAGTTTATTGCTATGGGTCAATCAGTCTTGCTAAAACAGGTTTGTAGAAGCCAAACATTTGGCCTTACAGGTCAAAGTTGACCTTTTTGTTTTGTACAAATAGTAGCCTCTGAGAACTGATGGAAACAGTGTGCTAAGCACCTATTTGTGTGTATGTGTGCATGTGTGCCTGGTTTCTGGACTCAGTGTTTAGTCTAATGCTTGAAAGATGAAAAGAAGTAATTAGATCTAGTAATAAACTTGATTTTGAAATGGAAAAAGCAGTAATAACTATTCCTTTATACAGAATATAGAATAATTTATTTATTATCGTTATAATGCAACTGTTAACTATAATAGCTATACTATTAACTATAATAGTTATACTGTTAACTACAGCAGTTAAATAATTATCTACAGTAGTTAAAATAATATTGTACTACTGTTGTACTGTTCTTTACAAATACAGTTCAGATCCCAGTTTTTTTTAAAATTTCTGTGTACCTTTGCACGCATCGCGACCATTATATATGCACAGGACTGGTATTTGCACGTAGCAACAGATACACATCCAGTAGCTGAATATGTTGTTCTCTGGTGTGCTCGCTTTGCATCTCTTGTGTAGGTTACTAGCTTGGAAACAACAGTGACCCAGCAACTGCTACAAAAGTGTTCACTTCCCTGCCCAAGATGGGAGGCAGCACCATTAGAGGAATGGGGCTGCCAGGTGGTACATGTGATTTTTAATCTGTGTGTCTGAATCAGAGCCTTGAGATTACCAGCTGAAGGACTTGTCTTTGTGTTTGCTTTGTTATAGGAAAATGTGCTGGATAGAAAATCTCTTTTTTGAGGGGAGAGGGGAGCAACTCTTAAGTTTTTGGCTATGTAGAGAAATACATAGATTATGTGTGAGACTTTTTGTGTTTGCATCAATTGTGAAGCAATTTAAATCTTCTGTACTGACAGTGTTGAGTGGAAGTGCTCATGCTCATTTGAGTGCTGAGTGGGACTGGTTTTGATTCTTTGCTTGCTTTTTAAAGAAAGAACATAAGGCAGAAAATGTCACTTAGAAAACTTCCTTCCTCTTTAAAATTTTTGCATTACCTAATATATTCCATATTATACACAATGGAACTAAGTTCACAATAAACATCTTGGTTTTTCAAGTCTGAAATGACTTCATGGGGTCACCTAGGCATGCTTGTCTGTGAGAAGCTTCATGCCTTTTCTGTGATGAAAAAAACAAGCTTTCTGCTTCATTGAATCTCTGTTTTTCAGGTACCAAGTATGCAACACAGGTAATGGAACTGTCTATAGACTACTGCTATAATGTGTTTTATTTTCAGATCCATATTTTAAAAGTATTAAAGAAAAATTAAACAAAAATGGAATGATTTTCAAAAACGAATTAAAAAATTTACTGCATTTGTGTCAGACTTCATCTGATGTGGAACTAGCCAGAAAAGTTATTTACAGGTATTTTTAACAATCCAGGTAACACTTTTTTCTGTCTTTATTTTTTTGCTTTTATTAGATCGTCTCAGGTTATGTCTGCAGTTGAGGGTTTGCACTAATTCAGTGGCTATATGCATGGTTAGTCCCTTAAACTAAGGCTGTATTTTCATTTACTTTGGATCTTCCAACCCTTCAGAGACGCTCAGACCAAAGGAAGGTCAAGCTTTGGGAGCACAGGGGTGTCCTCCTGTGTGCAGAGTGAATGGTGAGCTACATAGAAATGTTGTCTCTCAGCTGAGAGATAGTGGTGCGTTCAGTGGCATTTTCCAGCCGAAACATGCCTGGCTATAAACTGGTCGGGACCCAGCAGTGGCAGGTCAGCAGTTTTTGTGAATGAAAACCTTCCCGGCAATTATAGTGTAGGACCTATAAATAAAAAAGTGAAACACTTTATTTTTATCTTTTTATTTATTTTTTGGTGTAGGCGAGAAGAAGTTGAGGTATTTTAGCAGGTACTGCTGCTAAAATAGGCTGCTGCAACTTCCTGTGTTATTACTCTGTGAATAGAAGGTAAAGTAGCTGGGAATTTTCGTGGCAGAGACCCATTCCATTACTAATCCAATGCAGGTTACTTTTCTAGAAATAGAAGTGATTACGTATTACTAGTTAATTTATTAGTTTGATCAAAACAGTAATTTTTCCATAAAATTAATCTCCTGTTATCTAAATGTCATTGACTGGTGCAGATAGAAAAGTATAACTTTGTCATTGCACATATAGATCTTGCTGTCTATTTAAAGCTGTTTTTCCCTTGATGAATTCCATTCCCTGTGTGATTAACTTTTTTTAACCTTTCCAATAGGTACCATGAACAGAATGGAATCACAGCCTTACATAATTTCAAATTTGGGCCCCTCTTTATGAGGCTATGTTATGAGCTGGACCTTGAAAGACCTGCAGTAGAACTTATCAAAGATCAGGTAATTCACCTATATATTTTGAAAATATTGTCTTTATTATTAGTAGTACAATACGAGTATATATGAGCCTTGCATGAGCTCATAGACTTGAAGTATATGTGTTGCAGTAGCAAGGATGTCTATGACATTAACGTAAGGATGCAGGTTACATGGATTTTATTTTTAAAATAGCAAAACAGTAATTAAAAGAAAATTAAACAGTAGTTGGACTGATAACTTTATTATTGCATTTCTGTATAATTGCATCATTTGAATAAAAAGCATTGATTGAAAAAATAATTCCTCAGATAAACATAGCTGATGCGTGTTTTCCTGCATCCTGTGTTGTAGTAGATCATTCTTGGAAATGAACAGTTCTGAGTTTTTATGTAGTAGTCCTCTGAAGGCCCTCGTGTTGTTTGCACCGACAGATCCATCATGTCATTCTGTACTTCAGACTCCCTCTGAACCCTGTAGAGGTGGTATGATATTCATCAGCTCAGGAACTTGGCAATTTTAGTGCTGAAAGAACTTAAGGACTTGTTTTTGAACATCTGTAGAATGCTTTGTATGCTATTATAACAAAATATTAATCATGCCCAGTGTATAATAAATTAAAAAGATTCTGTGCAATAATGTTGTGTCTTCAAAAATCTCTGATGGCCAGTGGAAAGTCATCTCTCTGATGTTAATTTGTTAAGGCATGAGATATGCCTAGCCAGAAATGGGAGAAGTCTTGCATGGGCTACTATTCTTAAATCAGGCATGTGTAAGAGTACATGTGGGATCTTTGATTGAGATATATGTCATTGAGACAGGTCCTGCAGTACTTGTAACTGATGGATAGTAAGGTACAGTACCACTTCTTCAGGCTCTGCTGCAGAAATTTAGACTTAATACCTCTGGCATTTTATTTGGCCATTCCCAACACACAGTGTGATTGAAGTGGAATTTAAAACATACTTCATCTTTCTTCCGCTACTCTGCTTGTCATCGCTCAAGCCCTTGTGCTGATCTGTTCATCATTTGATATTGTGATTAGTAAAAAATTGTTTCAGTTTTGCAGTGGTGGTACTTTACCCCAAAAGATGTTGTTAATCAGCTGTAAGCTGTATTTCTACTGAGATTTTGGAGTTGCCATTTGTCAGTAACTTCTGCTTACATTAACTCAGAGGTCACAATGTATCACTGGAAAAATGATAGTGGGAATCTCTGGGAAATTTCTGTTTAATTTGAGTGAGCTTTCGACCGCACTGAGTCACTGGTATTTTAGAGGTCACTTGACATAGGGACAGTCGAGCAACTCAGAGAGTTAAATGTTGAACTTGTGAAGATGGGACTTATTCCAGTAAGAAGACCTGCTAAATGCTGTGCACAGTAAGAATGCTTACTGTCCTAAATTTCTTTATGCTTGCTCTGTTTGTATGTTTCTTCTCCAGAATTTGCGTGGTTTTTTCTCAGAGAGTACATCATTCCATATTTTGATGACTATGTTGTTCAAAAAGGGCCACTTTGAAAGTAAGTACTGTGTTTACTAAGGCAAATTCATTTTGAGGAGGATGCTTCTCACTGTTGCGTGTGTGTATATAGATATATATATTTTTTAATGAATGTTGCTAATTGGTTTATGGTTTTAGAAGGCCAAACAATGTAAATCAGTGTAGATGTGAAGGAGCTGTGCTGTAGTGTGTAGTAAAAATGGAAGGCTGTATTTATTTCATACTTCCAATGGTATTCTTCCTATTCTCAGTTGCACGGAATTATGATTATCCAGGGCAGCTATTCATAAACCTCTTCTCTGAACACAACTTCTCTTTGGTTTGTAATTTCCCGTAGCTTTTTGTTTTCTCTATTCAATTTGTTTTACATGGGTTTTGAGACACTGAAGTTCTTCAACAATTTTTTTGGCAGTTCTGCATTTGCGTCAGAGAGGGGAGGAGTACCTTTTTTCCTTTGATAACAAAACTGGACTGTAGTCTTCTCTTGGTTTGTCTTACTAGTGTGCCCACACAAAGCGGCTACTCCAATATTTAAGTCAAATGTTTCAAATCAGTTTGGCCCTTTGTGAGGATAAGGGGGAATCAACTGACCTGACTGAAAAGACTTCCCATTAGAAGATCTTAAATTGACTATGGAGTAACCTTTTCAAGGAAATCCCTTTATTTGAAGTTTGTGGAACACGCACTGCTCTTGTGAGACCCCATCTGGAGTACTGCGCTCAGGTCTGAGACTCCCAACAGAAGGACAGGGACCTGTTTGAACAGGTTCAGAGGAGGGCCACGAAGGTGATCTGAGGGCTGGAGCACCTCTCCTATGAAGACAGGCTGAGAGAGCTGGGGTTCTTAGACACCAGCCTATGGTGTCTGAGGGCAGGGAGGGAGAGCAGATCGAAGCTCCTGTGATCCAAGAGGAACGGGTCAAGGATCTGCTTTGCCAGCTGGATGCCCACAAGTCTATGGGGCCTGATGGTATCCACCCGAGAGTCCTGAGAGAGCTGGCGGATGTCATTGCCAAACCCCTGTCCATTATCTTTGGGAAGTCTTGGCTCACTGGGGAAGTTCCACTGGACTGGAGCCTGGCAGATGTTACCCCCATTTACAAAAAAG